AGAAAGAAAGAAAGAAAGAAAGAAAGAAAGAAAGAAAGAAAGAAAGAAAGAAAGATGCAGAAAAATAATAACTGGTCATAGAAATATGTAACATTATACATCTAATTATATATACACAAACACCCAACATCCTTGCCTCCCCACCCCCACTCCCAGAAAAAGGAGGCCATCCAGGATTCAATCCTACAAAGTCTTTTCTACATATCTGGGCCCCTTCAGATTGTTCTCATGCAGCAACAGGCGCAGTGGCCCAAGACGTCCAAGCCAGTTCCAAATAGGAGAGTTGTTGAGTTGCCTCAGCCCCTCTGGGCTTCCTGAGACATAGAACGGGACAGTGAGCGGGGCAGGCCAGCTTTTTTGAAGTCGGGACAGGTGGGCTGGACAACAAGGGGCAACTCTTTGGTGATCTCAAGCACAGGTATCTTGTCAGGGCAGACACCTGTGACTGGCAGTGACTCCACTGACTCTGATGGAGTTGGTGTCAGCTCCCGTTCAGCCTTGGTGCTTAGCTTGGCTGGTGTGAAGATGGGCAGAGGCAGAGCTCGCTGATAAGGCAGATGGTAAGAGACCAGGGGTTCACCCAGCAGACCCAGACGGAGGATGCCCCATGGTGATCGCTGAACTATGGCCCAAGCCTCCTGTTGTTGGTGGTAGGTTTCTTTGTGCTGATTGTCCACCTCAGAGTGACAGCAGCTATATGGGTGTGAGCAGAGTATAAATTAGAGATCCACCCTCCAACGTATCATAACAATCCAGCCATACAATATACATTGCAACCCCATCCCATCCCTAGCCAAAACAGAGAAAATGAAACTGGGTTATTTTATCTGGAAGAATGAAGCCATCAAGAATATTGTCATCTAAGATCCTATTCTTAGATTGTCATCTAAGATCCTATTGTCATCTAAGATTCCTATTCTTGTGGCTCTACTTGCCACAAGGAAGAAATTAGTAATGTGATAAGAGCATGCAGTTTCAGGTCTCTCAGTTTCATCCCACTGCCTTCCATGGGCTAAGAAGGCTAACATCCACACTAGGAAGAGGTTTATTTCTGTTTGGAGGCCTTCTTCATACATCATTTAGAGCCCTGATGTTCCAGGGTTCTCTATCACATGGGAAGCCTCTACAAACTGTGAAAGCCAATGAGAAGGAAAGACGCAGGAGTTGGCCTAAGAGACTCATCCCCGCTCTCTCTCTCATGTTATAGCAGTCTGATGGTGTACACCCAGGTAGGGTTTTATATGTTTGGACAAGTTCATGAAGGAAACTCTGAATGCAAATACTTAGCTGTAACAGGTACAAAATGGAAGTGAAGTGGTTGGGTCCAAATGGAATTGTGAAGAACTCCAAAACATTTCTCCGACTTGAGTAAATGGAGAACACAATGGCAAATACAGCTCAATGTAAGGGAGATACACCATCTCCCAAACAGATTAATAAATACCCTAACTTCATATATATGAAGATGGGATCTAAACTGGCAGTGTGACTGACAAGTGTGAAAGGAAGAAAGGAAGAAGAGGTGAAACAGGATGCAAGACTAGGCAGGCCCTTGCCATGCTCTAAGAAGTCTGCTCTTATAGTCAAAGGTAACAGATCTTTGTAAACATCAGAGGACAGTCAATTCTATTGTGGCCTGCTTGGCTACGCTCAACCTGGCTTTGAACCAACAAAGCAGTCCATGTATACTAGTCCATCTACTGAAATGCATTGAATAAAAGCAGGAAAATCCACTTTTAAAAACCCTGGCTGCAGTAACCATGAACATGCCATTTTCCCTTCAACCCAACTCACCTTTTTCAGTGCTATGCTGCAAATTAATGTCACATATCTTTTCCTCTAAATTGCCATAATCTAAACACAAGCTTAGAGCATATGAGGATTCATGTTCATGTTCATCCTTTAAGTGTGCTTTTCCCTTTCTGCCTCTTTTCTCTACCTTTATGTGTAATATAGGCATATTTCTGTTGCTACACATAATCATAACCTCAGCAACCCCCCAATCAAACCCTATGATAGTCCTACAGGCTGTTGCTTTGAGAAAAAGAAAGGACGTTTCCCACATCAACTTCTTGAACATTCCAGCTGTTTCCCATCTCCCAATGCATGTAGTACTTCCAAAATCTGATTATATTTCACTTCCTAAATGAATCTGCCATGATTTGGGTTTGTTTAAACTTGCTAACAGGAGTCTCAGCTGTCTATCCTGCAGGTTTCAAAAAAGGACTAGGGAATCTCTCCCCTCCCATCTGCTGGAATCCACCATCCTTGACCAAGTCTATCACAATCTTTGCCTAATCAAAGCCAAACACTTACCCTTCTTCAGGCCTTGAGGTGAGGGACAGGTCTTTCCATTCAGCATTGAATGATTCCTTCCGGGCCTCATCCTTCTCAGACACCTGGCAGGCCAGTTCAGCTGTAGACAGAATTCCGGAGCTGCGGAGGACCACACTTTTCCCGTGCATCTTTGTATCTAAGGTTCTCTTTGAACTAAGCTGAGTTCTGGAAATCTTAATTCTGCCTAGTATTTTGCTCCTGCTCAGTGTGGTTTATATAGCTTTTGGAGTGCTAATTCCTGGGGGATGGTGCTGGAGCTAAATTGGTCTTGCAGAGTCACTGGTACAGCATTCCAATACTGAATACCTCTCCCCTTCTCCACCCCTTTGCCCTCCTGGGATCTATGTGTTACTGGAATCCAAATTAGTGACATTACAATTTTTTTTAAATGCTCTTTTAACTCTGTACTTCCTGGCAATAAGTAAGGACTGGTAATTTAATTAATTCATCACTAAAGATCAAAAGGAAGTTTGTAACTTCCAAATCTACAGCATTGTGTAATAATCTTTCACTTGGATGGACATTAGAAAGAATTTAATATTTCAAATCAAAATCCACAGAAGGCATGAAAAGTCATAACTTAATTTGGGATCTCTTTCAAAGTGGGTCTTTGGAGATAGATGCTTCTTAATGCCTTTAGCTCAGCCCCAGAGACTGAAAAAATTACCTCTGATATTGCACAGTATGTGAATATTTCCTCATAGTTAAGGAATTGTGAAAAGTGCAGTAAACATTTGGCAGCTATAGCTAATGGCATTTACTTCTCCTCTTCTTCTTTATCATCATGATCATCATGATCATCATCAAACATCATGGAACTTCATAAGCACTTCAATACTAATATTATCCATTGTTCTTAGACTACATACAATTGTACGTTGACCATCAAACACTACTATGATCTCATTATTCTAGAAGGCATCAGTGCAGAAAATGTATATACAGAGAGTATTCAGAATCCATTCTTCTAAGAGTTTCTGACTTTGGATTCATTTCATGCCCTTAACTTTTCCAGACATTGAAAAAAAAAAAAATTATTTCAGCTATTGGGAGCTCTGAGCAAGGGACAGTTATTCAGGAAGGCATTCTGTGACGAAGGAAGGATTTGCGGAACTTGTTGATGGAAGATGGGAAAGGCCCGCTTTGAGCCAGCACAGCTGTGTGATGTGACTGCAGGATGAAGTCATCTGGAAAAATCTTTCCACTCCCTCCCTCCTTCCCTCCCCCTCAGATTTCAGGACCACCGTACTCCCCCGCAGAGAGCCAGGCTCATGCTCACTTCTCTCATCTCCAGAGAGACACAATGCCAAAACTTGGTGTAACTCGGAGAAAATGTCCTGCATGTTCCTGAAGGGTAGATAGGGTCAGGGGCAACATGAGATGTTGACTTGGCAAGCAGCCACTACCAAGTGGCATCGAGGAGCTGGGAGTAGAAAGGCGGACTTTTGCAGCACGTGTAAGCCCCAGTGCTGCAAAGACATGGGGCAGGAAGATACACATAGGGCGAGAAGAAGAATCAGCATGCTTTTGTATCGAACACTTCTAATGGTACTAATTAAAAGGCATGAGGAACAGTCACAGGTGACTTAACTGGCTTACTGTGGATGAGCAAACATGCTGGTGCACATGGCTTGATTTCTCCTATTTAACTCTAGCTCAACCAACCTTTTCATGGTTGACTTCTGTTGATGTGAAAACAAGGATCCCTGCTTTGCCTGTCCCAAGCAACCCAGGCAGTGAATCCATCAGAGAATCAGTCTCTTCTCCAGTTGGCAAATAACCTCGGACTATTTTCATGGATTAAATGGCACGTGAACCAATCCCAGGTATGGCTTGGGAATGCATTGATTCAATCTTACCTATGAGCAAGTCCCACTGAACTCAAAGGAGCTGTTGCTCTCAAGTGACAGCCATACTTATTTACTCCTTTTTTAATCTTTCTGTAACATTTCCAACAACAAAGAATAAGGCCTCTTTTGGCATTCATCCTGCATTGTATGGGATATTTAGCGTGTGGATTTTAGAAACCCATCAGCCGTTCTTTGTTACTGGGCACTGATAGCAGCTAGTGCAAACAAATGAGATGACTCCTTAAAGCCAGCTGTTTGCTCACTATAATAATGAGAAACAGTGTAGGCTTTAAACCATATTTCTCCAAACAAAACACTCCTCCCAGTCTCAGAGCTGTTCTTAGTAAGTTTTCTGGCAATTCTGTCATGTAACCTCCAAGCTTGCCCTTATTACCAGAATATAAGACAGGTCCCAGACACCCAGACAGATGTGGATTCAATTGCTTTGGAACAGCTTATCTGACATGAAGCATTTTCAGTTGCGCACACACACACCCCACCCAGCTTGGACACAATAGATGTACGATTATTTTAGTGGACAGCCACAAAGGGAGAGAAAGGGGGACAGGAATTGTAACTGCCCCTGGCTCTGTTTGATCTGACCTTAATGCTTTTTCAACTGGTTGCAGTTAGATGCAGTTTCTAACTGTATCTCAATCTAGGTGAAGCAAAGGCAAAGAACTAGCAGCTAGCAAAGAGTGGTAAGAGAGCAGAGTTTCTTCTCTGAGTATCTCAGAAGAAAGAAAAGAATAGTACTGTATAGAGTAACTGGAAAATTTTGGAACCCCAATCCTTCAGTAACCTTGGGTCTTATGCAGAACAATTATTTGTATACTTAGTAACAAATCTCACTAGATTTTGATAAGATCAAGTCATACCAGATTAGAGATCATGCTTAAAAGGGCATGTTAGACTGATTTATAAAGGTGAGCCCTTTTCCTTCATTTTAACTGTTACATTATTAAAATAATGAAATATCATTATAATGACTAAGCAAGTCAACAGAAAAGACGCAATAAAACATTGAAAACTAATTTCCATAAAAGACATTTACTTATTTAGTTCCACTGATTCATTGTTAGAAAAACTCTGGTTCCCCCAAATAAGGTATTTTCCATCACAGCAGGTAAGCCTCAGCAAAGTTCTCTTTCTCCCCACCCCTTTCCTGTGTTTTGCAACGAATATTTTGCCTCGTCCCCTGGAATTCCCAATCAGGGGAGGTCAGCAGATCGGAAACAGTTTCAGTATTTTCTCTCCTGCCCATTTCTGCAAGGTGGGGTGATTTGTAGAATTCAGAGCAGAACATCTAGTAAGCTTCCTTTTGCAATAAAGATTACTCTCAGACATTCACGTTCAACTCCACATAATTCATGGCTTTGCCTGTCACTCAAATATAGCCTTTCATTTCCCACTTTTCCATGCTTTCCTAAGACTTTCAGAGATGTGATGGGAAGGGGAGGGAGATAAATATTTCCTCTGCGTTCTACGTCTTCCACTCGTGTTAAGGATGACTTAACTTTAGACTTGGGTCTAAAACAGCCTTCCCCAATCTGGTACCTTCCAGATGTTCTGATTACAGTTCCTGCCATCTCAGCCAGGAATAATGCTCTTGTCTGGGGAAGATGGGATTGTAATCCAGTGCATTTGGATGCACCTACTTAGAGAAGACTATAACCTTTTGCAACCCTAAAAGTGTCAGCAGGAGATACAACTGATAGCAAGTGGCCTCATCAGCAGTTCTTAGATAGCAAAAAATGTAATCAGAACATGTCATAATTATGTCAGCCAATAAGTAAGCATTTTCATTGTTCTACCCACATTTGGCATTCTTAGTCATCTTTGTTGTACCTTTCAAAATAAAGGTACATAAAATTACTTAGGTGTAGTACTTCTTCAAACAGTTGATTAACATTGTATGTTCTTTTTTTTTTTTACTTCTATCCCGACTTTGAAAAATTAAACAGCCCCTGTGAATTGAGGATGAGTTTAATCAAAAACATGGCATAAGAATAAAGAATTAAACACCACTTCTTCCCCAGTACTGTTGCCCAGGTAAAAGCAGCGGAGAGTGAATATACTCATTTTTTGTTTCATTCTGCTTTGTTTTTAAATGTTGAGAGTTCTGATTGCAAATCTCCTGTGTAATGTGTAGTCTGGCCCTAAGTAATGAAAGATTGACACTTTCTGGAGGGGTGAGGGGAGACTCATTGTCTCATCTGGACTGTGTCTAGGGTGATTTGATGATGTAGGAGGAGTTTGATTTACAGCTGCTCTTTCCTGCTTCTCAAGTGGGAGGGAGGCTCATATATTAAATTCAAGTGCTATGCATTATTTGCCAACAAGATCCTTCCCTGAAGGACAGTGGCGTCTGTCACAGTATGTTGTCCTCCCTGGTTCCTGACACTAATTTTGTTATACTGGATGTACAACCTCAATAAAGTGTCCTTTCAATACAGTTATTAAACGACTATCTGGTGCAAGATAAACACTCCATTCCCTTGCCTGCCCCCAACTGCCTTGCCAAAGCCTCCATCAAGCTCTTTGAAAGGTCTTCTCAATTACTCTACGGAAGGGCGTGGATGTGTATTGGACAAATGACTCCAATTTATAGGTACCCTGCAGGGAATCTCTGATGTTATCCGCTCAAACTACTTGGCATTAATTGCATTGGGTCCATTAACCTGTTCTAGTGCCTTGGGCAAACAGGGCTATAAAACCACCACTTGTCCACCTCAAGCCCAGTAGATGAGCTGAATGCAGCGAAGCGTCTCCTTAGCCATGAATGCCATTGGTGTTGCAACTATGGCTGAAAACTACCAGAAGTTCAATCCTACAGCCTACTTGCAGAACAACTACATGCCACCACGTGCCAATTTCACTAGTGAGGAGTTTGTGGTGCCCTGGAAGCTCCGTTGCCTGGCAGATGCCTTTGCCACAGGTAGGGGATTACCAAAGTTTCCATTGGCTGGAAGGGGCTCCTGATATTTAACATCATTTCTCTTTTTCTAATTTGAACACTATGATCTCCCTCCTAGGTTATTTCTCCTCCTGTTAACAGTGTAATTGTTAATAAACTTTTAGAATGCTAACCTTGATAAACTAGAACAAAGCATGTAGCAAAACAATTTCGCTCTTTCAAAACGATGTTTTTTAATTGCAAAATCTGAGCCAATAGACCAGCTTGCAAGACCTTTCCTTCTCTTGCAGAGTTATTATAATGAAGCTAAGTAAATTAAGGTTATTGCTAGTGGAAGGGAGTGGACATGAAAGTACCTGCTTCTGAGATAGATTTTTGATACAGTAATTTTTCATACCAGTTTTTGAAATTAACTAGAAAAATTCACCAGAGTGAAGGCAGGGTAAAACTAGCCAAGTAAGTGAGGCATCTCTTATCTTAGCAGCATCATCACCATCATCATCATCTGCCCAATTTACAGTAATGCTATACTTTTTAAAAAGTAGAGACTTTTCCCCAACAATTCCTGGAATGGCCATCTGAGGAAACAATCCTTGTCCATCCTACCATGGATATTCCTCATGGAAGAGGAAATACTAGGACTTGGTTTCAACTAGCATTCATCCCACCCATGGATGAAACATAGTGAAACTCCCAAATTTGCTGCTGGCAGAATCTATGGTAAAAAAATGCTTATTTGCTAAATCAGTGAGATTTTGATTTTTGAAACTTGGAGCAGGAATCAACCAGGCTGGATCAAAGCACTCTCTTTTACCTGACAGCTCAGCTACTAGTCAGTTTTACAAGACAAATAATCTTATTTGCACATTAGCACTTTGTTCAGCCAGCATACCTAGTGTGACTGTATATCTACTTTTCTTCTTGAGAAAAAGTAGTTATCTAACTGAAGGGCTATCAGAGAACAGATGTATATTTCAAGGCATCCCGTACCTGAAGATTAAGGAATGCACATTTAATGTAAAAACTAAGAATGATGTGAAAGGAAAACAGGGGTCCTGAAGTGACCTCTCAACATTTGTACAGTTGACTGTATTTGGTCTTTTCTGCAAATATGTTGTGTTTCTATTCAAATATAGTAAAGATTTCTATATTTTCATGTATATTTATGGATAACTTTTTATTTGCAGATATGAGACAAACTTGTCCATTCTCTTTGATGATGTATTGACTTTTTTTGGTGGTGGAAAGATGATGTGCAAATTGCTGTTAAATGAATGCTGCAGGACAGCACAGATAAAAAGTGTTATACTAACCCCTCATCCTCTATTATCTCAGATTGTTACATTGCTTTAGCAATGCTTAAAGTTGGTAAGTTAACATCCATGGAATACCTCCTTTACATATAGAAGATCCTTGATTCAGTCCCTGAAATTTCCAGGTCTAGAATCCAGGAGACTGTGAGTTCAAGTCCCACCTTAGGCATGAAAGCCAGCCGGGTGAGTTTACTCTCTCTCAGCCCAATCCACCTCACAGGGCTGCTGTTGTGGGGAAAATAGGAAGAGGAAGGAATATTAGGTATGTTTGCCACCTTGAGTTATTTATAAAAATAATAAAGGCAGGATAAAAGAAATCAAAAAAAAAAAGCAAGCTAAAGAGGATCCTCAAAATGAAATGGAATCACAGCTACTATTTAATATTATGTCATCCCCTAGAGACTAACATTTTGGGAGCATCAGACTCTTAGGTGCAAAATCTTGATCGTGAAGTTGACAGAACTTGTGGAAGTGGTGACATTGACCTGTTTGATTAGGGATAAGACAACTACTTTTATGAAAGACTAGAAACCTCTTATGGACTTTTTGCTGAAAATGGGAAAAAAACGACTCGGTGATTTATAGATTTGCTGATTAAAAAGGGGTTGAATATGGGAAGAAGAGAACCATGGTGTAAGTTTTAAAGAGGGAGGAGAGACAATGAATTTGTTTGTAACTGCTATAAAGAAGATTAGAAGTCTTTCCTTTCCTTTCCTTTCCTTTCCTTTCCTTTCCTTTCCTTTCCTTTCCTTCCTGCATTGTCTTTTCTACTTGTATCTTTTATTTCTCTCTCTTTTTAATTTCACTCTGCATAATTTCATGTTTATCTTTTACTTACGTGAAAATCTTTAATAAAAATTATATTAAAAAAAGTTTCTTCGGTGCAAAATCTCCAGTAAATCCAGAACCAAATCCAGAAGTCCTAGAATTTCTAGGTCTGCTGAAGGATAGCTATTGGCTGGTTTCCAAAAGCAACCCAGCTGACCAGTCACAAGCTAAGGGGAGGGCCAAAAGGGGAGGCTTCTCATGGGGCCACAGTAATAAGCTTCTTGGAGCCATCCATCAAGGGAAGAAATGAGAAGAAAGAGAGGGAAAATCACTGGGGATCTGAGAGCCGTTCTTGAAAGGAAAATCATAGGCTTGCTGCAGTTTGGTCTGGGCAACCCTCTCTATGAAAGAGCAAAGGAAGAATAGGCTGAGAAGGGAGTGGGGGCTGCTACAGAGACAGGGGATGGAGGGGAGCAATTGGTTGTTTACTAGTGGAGGCCTGGCAGACAGGCCTTTGACTTTTCCTTGTTGCTGCTCAAGTCCAAGGGAGATGGCTGGAAATGGCAGGGTCAATCCCATGGCAAGCCACTTGACTTCTCCAAGGGTTCCACTTCACGCAGGAATATCAATTCCCTGCTTTCCAAGGATGGTAGAATTTTTCCCTCCACACATGCACCCATGATTCTATAGTTCTGTGGTGAAAAACAAACAAAAAATTTTTTTGTGGCTGACTCTTTGGTGGGACATAGAAGGTCAATGGGATTAAGCATGACAGAGGTTTCTCAGTGTGCATCTGAGCACCACCATTCCAAATGACAGTAGTCCTTCTCCTTCTCCTTCTCCTTCTCCTTCTCCTTCTCCTTCTCCTTCTCCTTCTCCTTCTCCTCACAGTTCACCCCACTCCCACTAGTTAGCTTTTCTAAGTTCTGATATTTAAATGAACATTTCTGGTTCTTGTGAAATTGTTTAAAATGAACCATATCTTGGTTTTTCCTCTTTCTAAATCCCTTGCAGGAAAAATCAGGGGCCACACTCTTATTGATATCGGCACAGGCCCCACCATCTACCAGCTCCTCAGTGCCTGCGACTACTTTGAGGAGATTGTGGCCACTGACTTCTTGGAAGTGAACCGGGCTGTGATTCATAATTGGGTGCACAGTGAAGAAAAAGTTGGCTTTGACTGGTCCTCTTATATCCAACATGTTTGTAAGATTGAGGGCAAAGGGTAAGAAACCAAGGAGGCACTTTGCTTTTGCATTTGGGGAAAAGCTAAATATAGTCTTGGCATTTATGACCACTTGAGAATGGTCAGTAGGGCCCACCATGATGGGCGGGGAAAGGAAGGGAGGATGATACCTGGAATTGTGCTGGCTGAGCCAGGAGCCAGACTGATCTGTGTGTCCTCTCATGCAGTGCAGTGACTTGCCAAATGCTACAGCACTTGTATATTAGAAATACACTTTCCAGTGTTGGCATGATAATCTAATTTATCCACCCACCACAGCCTTATTTCTTTTGGATACCTGTTGCAGCAGGGTACAGCTTAAGTGGGCCAACAAATTACAACACTAACAGCCCATGTCTGACAACATCCTACACAGTCTCTAAGTGCAGCATCATTTACTGAACCATTTTCACATGTACAGCATCAACAATACATCGTGCAATTTGCTCACTCTGCCCAGTTCAAGCCCTAACCCTTTGCATTCCACTCCAGATTAGACCCAGATAATCAGAGTTGTACTGGAAATCTGCTGTTCTGGTACTCCGAGGAGGGACTCTCCAGCCTTGGTTTCAGATTTCTAATGAAGAAGAGTTGATCATTGTCTGGAGCAGTCTGTTCCATCATCAGTTGCATTCATGCCAGTTGGCCTCCTCTCTCTTTCTGTTGCAGTGTTCCGTCCTTTTTTAGTATAATTTGCTAATAGTTTGCAGCCCAATTAGCCAAAATTCTGCTGCCCATTTTGTCCCAATGTCTCCTATCATGAGAAAGATTATTGGCTGATCTGGAGACTGCTAGGAGGCAAAAAGGGTTTATGGAAAAGGCAGGAGCTAGAAACAATCTCATACCAGCCATAAATCTGACTTTTTTCCCCCGATTACCATAGGGAACCATGGAAGGAGAAAGAGCAAAAGCTGAAGAAGAAGCTGAAAAAGATCCTTCCCATTGACATCCACCAACCCAACCCACTGGGTTCTTTGCTCAGCCAGCCAGCTGATGCTTTGGTGTCTACTTTTTGTCTAGAGGCTGCAAGCCCTGACCGCCCAAGCTTTGATCAAGCCCTTCAGAATGTCACCAGGCTTCTCAAACCCGGTGGCTATTTTCTCATGATTGGGGCTTTGGAAGAGTCTTTCTACTTAGCTGGAGAAGCAAAGCTGACAGTGGTGCCCCTGAGTGAAGCAGACATCAAGGAATCATTTGCAAAAAGCGGCTATCGCATCCATGACTTCCGTTCCTACGACATGCCACCAAACCTGAAGATTGGAGTTGATGACGTACAAGGGATCTTCTTCATCCATGCACAGAAGTTTGCTTGATTCCAGTTTGCCTAGAAGCTGTTTTTTCTCTTGTCAAAGAAACATTGTTGCATAAAAACTCAGCTTGCTCATTCTTCCCATTATCTCTTGTGCTAGTGCCTCTGTGCTTAGAGCTGTGCGTTCTCTGGTTTTATCTTATTTAAATTCAAGTTTGCTGCCAAAAGAGGATAGTTTCGGTAATCTGAACCAAATCCCTTGGCAGATTTTATTCAGTTTTTGCTGTCCATAGAATGAAATAATGCATTGTCCAAATTCTATACCCTACCCATAATGCAGTTCAGGGGCAGAGTACATATTTTCCATCTTGAAGAGCAAAGGTTATATCTCTGGCATCTGCAGTTAAAAAAAAAAAAAAGCAGGGGGGGCAGTTTCCTCCAGTTTGGTATCTTCCAGATGTGTAGGACTTCCAAAATCATGGTGATTGGCAGATACAGAATTTGGAACCCAATATATTTGAAGGGCACCAAGCTGGAGAAGCTTGCCAATATATCAGATAACAAAGCTGGGGAAGCAACCGGTGCCTGAAATAGATAGATAGATGATAGATAGATAGATAGATAGATAGATAGATAGATAGATAGATAGATAGATAGATAGATAGATA